ATCATTAGGATTCCTGACAAACTACACAAGACCTGACATTGCTTATGCAGTAAATAGACTTAGTAGATATACATCAAATCCTGATAAGAGTCATTGGGATGCTCTAGAAAGAGTTTTGAGATACCTAAAGGAAACTATGAATTATGGTTTACACTATAAAGGTTATCCATCTGTATTAGAAGGCTACTCAGATGCAAATTGGATTAGTGACTCCGTAGATGTAAAATCTACCACTGGATTTGTGTTCCTTTTAGGAGGAGGAGCTGTGTCCTGGAAATCTACTAAACAAACTGTAATGGCTAGAAGTACAATGGAATCAGAAATGATAGCTCTTGATACTACTAGTATAGAAGCTGAATGGTTGAAAGATTTACTAACTGAAATTCCACTAATGCAAAAACCATTACCAGCTATTTCTATTCATTGTGATTGCAGGTCAGCGATTGACAAATGCCATCAAGAGAATGCAAATGTGAAGATGAATCGACACTTGAAAGTGCGACATAAATCCTTGAGATATAAGATGAAAAACCATATAATAGCCTTAGATTTTGTAAGATCAGAGAAAAATCTTGCAGATCACTTAACTAAAGGCTTATCTAGGGCAGTGGTCCTAAAATCATCGAGGGGGATGGGGTTAAGCCCATAAGAAAAATCACTGCAGTGGCAACCCAACCTCGCAGAGGTTCAATGGGTAGAAACAAACTGAATGAGTGATTAATTGTGAGGAGCACTGAATTTATTTGCTCCCATCCCTAAGGTGATCAGTGCTCATAAAAAGCAAGTGAAAGGTTGAGTCTAACTCTTAATGAATCCAAGACCCTTGAGGCAGGATGCTTACTTGCTCGCATCCTTATTAGGATTCACCTATATGTGTGTAGTTGTGAGGCCGCGACTATGGGATCAGGGCTGCTCCCTAGTAACACACATGAAAGATACCTGCGCAAGGCCGATAATAGCGCAACCCGTTTAGAATTCTTCAAAACTGTACTATGTGTGCTTTCTGTAGAAATCCGATAAATGAGACTGGTTCAAGGCGAAGTCCACCAAGCTCTCACGGATCTATACAACTGTCACTAAGTGAAGGTTCAAACCGAAAGGTACCTCCACCTATTACATAGTATAAGGGAACCAGCAATCGTATTTATTTCTTTTATTGTTATTTCTGAACTATTTTAAGTTTTAAGTTATGTGGGGGATTGTTGGAATTATATAATAAAAGATAACTTAAAACTTGACTTTGTAGAGGAAAAGAGGGAAAGTTTAGTCCCACATAGGAAATGGGATAGAAAAAAGGGGTCCTTATAAGCCTTCCCTTTCTCTCCTATGCCTAGAAGAAAACAAAGGTTATGCTCCACACCACACACGCGCGCGCCGGCCGGGCCGGGCTCGGGCTCGGGTTCGGGTCGGGTCGGGTGGCGCGCGCACACGACCTGCGGACACGAATGCAGCTCCGGATTAATGGGCCCTTAATCTGCTACATTTTTATTTTTAAATAATTAAAATATAATTTTTATTTTTGAACAATTAACATGTGATAAATATTTTGTAACCGAAATATTTTGTAACGGAAAATATTTATTAGTGTGATTAAAAACGTGATAAACATTTTGACAGATTTACAAACGAATTTCTCCTCTTCTTCTCTTTCAAAATATTTGCTATTATATTCTGTTGGTTCCCTGAAAGTCTACAAGAGTTCGCAAAGCCTTCTTGACGCTCGTGCCGACGAGAAGGAGGTCGCCTGACCGAGGGTCGTCGTATCTCCGAGATCTATTGCCGCGTAGCCCTGTACGAGAGGGGGCAATTAGTTTCTTGGGACAGTGCTTGCACGCCTCGACCATCAGGCCGTATTTCTAACTTTATTTACTTTTCATTTGATATATTTCTTATATCTGTGTTATAATAGTGATTATCTGTTAATTATTAAATTGCTTAAACTGATTTTCGTTATTGTCTAAACAGCTAATATTCCTAACAGAAACAAGCTAATGGAATCAAAATGAATCTAGCAGGAGATCTTTGGGAACAGTTTAGCTGGTATTAGTTCTTAAGGGGTAACATATCGTTTTAACCACGGCATTATGAATCGAGATCTTCTTTTGTCAAAATGACAGTTATGAACCATTAGTAGTCACGATTACAGAATCTTTCCCTCTTCACGTGTATTAATCAACTATTTATTATTACTAAGTTTATGATTGGTGGTGGTATTTCAGTTAATTTCTTTGTAAGCAAGTTATCACGAGATCTGTATTGATGAAAATTCAAACAACCAATGTCACGTCACTTGTATTTTTTTAACTCATTTTAAAACGACAAATTAAGTTAAAAGTATTATTTTGTGTAAATAAGTTAGTTATCCTAAATAATAATATCCATGAATAATAGTCAATGGACATATATACTAGACCATTTAACCTAATGCATGCATTGAGAGGCATTTCACATTATAATTGTCAAATAAGTAGTCATTTATTTGTTAGTTGGACGGTTGTGATTTAATTTGCTTTTAGTAAAAACAGGAACTAAGTGCACGGGAATATGTAGTAAAGCTAGAGTTGCCTATAAAATAACGTCACTACCACATTTGAGGCCTATGGGGACGGTTGTGAACCGTCACACTAGGCATGGAAACCGTCACACTAGGCCTATGGGGACGGTTCAACATCCGTCTCGTTTACAGCCGTGCCCTTAGGTCTAATGGGACGGTTTATGCTCCTAGTGCAACGATTTATAAACCGTCATCCTTGGTACCATAAGGGAACGGTTGTGCTAAGGGGTCAGTTCTTAGTTTAGAGCAAGTGGAACGGTTGTATATCAAGGGAAACAGTTTTTAGGTTCTAAGCAACGGGAACAGTTTGATAGCAAGGGGAACGGTTTTTAGGTTCTAAACAATGGGAACAGTTTGATAGCAAGGGGAACGGTTTCTATGGGGACGGTTTTAATACCAAGGGGGACGGTTTCGAGCTTGACCTAAGAGGATGGTTATATTGTCTATGGGAACGGTTTTGTTTGTTATCTATGGGGACGGTTTTTATACCAAAGGGGACGGTTTTCATTTTTTACTGATCAAAACAAATCGCCCAGATATCACACATCAGTCCATCACATACAAAGAAACAATAGTCCAAGTTTTACACACAAACTAACCAAACTTTAGTCTTAATATCATGAATAATTCATTACAACGAAGAATAATATATTATAGCAACATGATTGAGATAATTCTTCACAAGTTTTACACACAAACTAACCAAATTAAGCACATATCACAAATCCTCTATGATTAAAACAAAGAGCTACTACTTAATCAAAAGGTCAAAATGTCTCCATTGAGATGATTAAGTTCTAAATCTTCACAACAAATAAATCCCCCAAAGAGCGACAAGCATGGATCTTCAAATGTTTTCCTGCATACATCAAGATAAAAAGATAAGCACAAGTAGAATGAAATGGACTGTATGTGTCTCTTTAGAGTCATAACTAATTGCATGACGATCATATTTAGGTATATAATGAAATTAAGAGTAAGCACAAGTAGAATAGAAGAGACGAATGGTAGACCCATGCGTGTACAGCCACCCAACTCCACGACACTTGTGCAAGTGTCAATTTACAAAATGTGTCATAAATAATGTGGTAACATTGCTTTTCTATTTATAAATAATGTGTCATAAATAATGTGTCATAAATAACGCCACAGTTGTTCCCTTTGCACACATCCGGATGGTACTGCAAATAAATCAGCGAGTAAGCTCTCGAGTTAAGAATCAACAAGAAACTTGGAATTTATTAATACTAAGAATAAAAAGAACGAATGAATATGCATCCCAAAGTATGGTTTTCTTTCCAGCAACGAAAACTAGTATTATGACGTGCACACTTTGCTTAAGCAAATTTTGGTTCCCACAAATAAAGAGATTGATTTGCCCAAACCCAAGATTTTTGAAGTTGTAGAGAAGAAGCTTAATCAGATTATTGAGCCACAATCAAGTAAGTTTTGTTTATGGGTGCTCTTACTGGATTATGTTTTATTATCAATTTATGAATTTTGGGCTTTTTTTGTTTTCCCAGTTAAGGTTCAAGAAGAGAAGAAGATACAAGAATAACGTATATAACCTCACACCTCAAGTCTCTAAGGAAGTCACTACTTTGCGTGAGAAAATAAAAGTTCTTGAGGTACAGTTAGCACTTTGACATGAATATTAGGTGTCTGTCGTTGCAAACAGATATAGGTGCTAACCTTAATGTATCCGGTTTTCCTGCTTTTAGGGGAAGATAAAGCTGAAGGATACAACACTGGAGGATGCAAGGAATTCGTTTGTGAAGAAAGAGAGGGATATGCTGAAGCGGATAGAAGAACTGCAAAAGAGTAAAGCTGGTCTTTGTGGAAGTACATCCCAAGAGGTGAGAACTCAATTTTATAGACTTGCTAAACTTAGTTTATGTTCTACCAGTGAGGATCAATTATTTTTACAGTTCTACACTCGGATGTTTTAGCTTTTTTTTTTAAACAAAGTAGAATAAGTAGTCCAATATCCACCATTGTCTAATAGTAAATATAATAGAGTATTTATTATTTGGCTAATTTTATGCCTCGTAGATAGACTAGACACGAAGGTGATTCCCCACAACAAATCTCATCGTCTTGCATCATTGCCTAGACTCTTTCTCAATCTAGAGAAACCTTGAAAGGTGTTACTTATTTTCATGAGATTAACCCGCATGGCCAAAAAATGTAGGTCTACCTTCTCAAACATCAAAAGTTCTATTGCATGATGGATCCTGACAGTAGAAACTTTAGGGGAAAGGATATTGAATTTATCATCTAAGATAAAGAAAATCATAGGATATATCATCAAAGATAAAGAAAATCAATAAGTGTTACCTGCAAGTGAACAATGTTACTAAAAAAGTCCACTTCAGGATCCTCACTGCACAAACTTCTGAAAGAGTTTAAAGCTAGGATTTGACGAAGATGATAAACCATATATCGAAAAAGATCAATCCATTCCTGAAAGTGAAACCCAAAAGCAACAATTAGATGCACTCGGTTGTATGATGGAAGACATTAAACTGCATACATACTTTCTGAATTGAGATATCCTTGGACATAGCATCACCAATATCCTGCAGGAAAGTTTTCTTAACTATACGCTGAATGCAAGCTTTCGTCCAAGTAAAACTGGTATTAGTTATTTCAAGAATTGGGTATGTTTTTCCTTCAAGTAATTCACCAGGGGACCTCTCTTCGCAATCCTCTCCATTGCTATCTAATACTAATGCCGCAAATCGTATGAAGGACAGGAATGACTTGCCGTAGAATCAGTTCTTCAGAGGACATGTCATATATTTGCAATGAGATAGTACAGTTAAAGCATGTTCCTCCATGAATGAAGAGAAGATATCTGGCATTATTGAATTATAAGCAGATATTCTTGTGTCATAGTCAAGCTCATTTAACTCCAAATGAGACACATCGTTCAATTCACGAAGAAGCCTAGCCTGAATTCCAGAACAAATGAAAAGAGAATTAAGAAAATTGTTTTCCAAATAAGTAAAGAATATAAAAGATGTACAGAAAGAAGTAATTATTACCAGAAACGCGAAAGATGGATCAATCAAAGAAAGGTCGTCAAGAATATCACAAATGCACAATCGCATGTTCAAACCACAAGAAAGAAGGAGCGGATTAACTGCACTGAGAATTTTTCCAGTTGTTTTATCACTCAGCACAGGTAGAATGTGCCTTATGATATGTAAACCATCCAAACACTCATCTGCACTAACAACATTAAAATAAAAAACAGAAATAACTAAATTCTATATAAGATTCTCTCTCTTTTACATCATAAAAGAAGTGAAACTAAGTTATATTGAGCAGACCAGTCATTAGAGAACTAAATAACAATTTAAGATGTTCAAGATAGCAAGCAACATAAGTTTGAGTATCACTCACCAGAATTTAAAGCTTTCTTTTTGAAAATTGGTAGTAGTATGTCCACAAATTTCTCTGCTACCACATGATCATTTACATACATCACTAACAGTTTAAATATTCTCAGCTCTGTCTTTCCAGACGACATGGGAGATTTCCTATAGATCGTAATAAAGCAAATGCAATTAGCAAGACCAGTACCCATATTATTCATAAAGTAACATTACACTGATACACAAAGTAAGAAATTGAATCTTGAAACTAAGCTTTGCTGCTCATTCTGAATTTGGATTTTAACTTGAGAAAGAAAATAGAAAAATGAATTCTACTGAACTCACATATTATTAAGAGAGAAAAATGCGAATGAGAACATAGGAAATGCACTTATGTCTTGGCATGCAAACTGTAAAATGAACTCTTAACTGAAATTATAACCTTCCACGTATTACAGGAACAACAATAATGTAGTTCCATGTGTATGTTTCATGGCTACAAGCTTAGGATACATCACAATATTGGAACTTTCCAGTGTCTTTCTGTTTTGAAGAAAAGGCATATGGCAGAGCTTAGGATACATCACAATATTGGAACTTTCCAGTGTCTTTCTGTTTTGAAGAAAAGGCATATGGCAGCATCACAGAGAGGAAGAAACGACAGAATAGTGGCCAATAAATTAGAAACTAATACAGAGAAAGTACGCACAGAGAACATTTCAGACCTTGGACCTCGCTTCTTTGACTCCCGATTATCTTTATTTCTTTTTGCCTCCGTCTGCACAAAAATGTAAGATTTAGATTGTGATCCAAAAATAAGCACATGCCAATCATTGAACTATTTGTTAACCATATACATGCTTCTTATTAGAAGAAAAACTTGCAGAGGTCGCACCATTTTTTATCGATCCCTTCGAACACCTCTTTCTTGAAAAGATCATCTCTTTATTTCTTCAAAATGTTTATCCCTCATCTTATGTGCAGAGAAACAAGAGATTATTGCAAATAGGCTTTCTTATAAGAGATCATAGGAAAGAGAGGATCATTCAGAGGGTATATAATGAAGTCATTACTATGCCAAATTTACTGCACACATACACATACTGAAGTTGCACAAACAATGTCTTTTACATGGAAGAATTGTGAAAATTAAGGTCTGCATCTATTTCATTCATCAGGATGGATAGCTGCAACCAAATAATGAAGAACTGAACTTGGAAGTTAAATAAACACTCTAGACAATGAAGACCTCACAATCGTTATCAGGTGCAGGATATTGCAGTTGACAGCCAGATACAAATACACTTTTCCATGCATATAATTCTTGATATTGAACAAAAAGAGTGCGAAAAAATCACAAATTGCATACGATTGAAAAGTCGAAAACTAATCTGCTTTTCATAAAGAAAGTTGAGGAAACAAGATTAAAAATCACCATCAATTATTTGATGATGCATTGACAAGCCTTAAAGAAAAAAAATTCAAATGTCAAATGGAGGCTAGGGCTCTCACTGACAAAAGATCTACCATTTTGAACAGAATAACATGTACAATCCAGTGAACTCCTCTTCAATCCTCACCTAACAACCACCAAACACCAGCAAATACTCAAATTTAGGGGAAAATTAGACATTACAACAATTAACTAAACAATTTTATTGAAAATTACACTAAATGCAGGATATTCCAAAACTAGGGTTCAAGATGTCTCTAAATTCATATGCTGCGACATATAATCAAGAAAATCAAAGGGATTCATCGCAAAAACCCTAGAAAATTGCTAAAAATGCTCAATATAGAGGCTTAATTGCTAAATATACTCAAAATCGAAGTAAAATTGCTAAAAATGCTCAATATAGAGGCTTAATTGCTAAATATACTCAAAATCGAAGTAAAGAAATGCGTCAACTGAGCAAAGAATATACAAGGGAAATATAAAGAGGAAATGAGATCGATACCTTTTTTTTGAGTCGTGTGGAGGTCTCGGCGGCGGGCCTCGAAGACGTGGCAGTGGACAACGACGAATTAAGGAGAGGTGGCTGACGAGGTTGGGATGGTCGGCGAACAAGCAGATGTGTCGAATGAGGGGAAGTGAAGGAGCCAAGGGGAGGAGGGAAACGCGAGGTGGAGATCGTCGAGGACGAGAGTGAGTGAAGGAGAGGCGGCGGGCTTTGCTCCGTCGAGGAGAGCTGGCAGGCGAAAAGGAGATCGACGCGAGAAAAACCCTAGAGATAGAGACGCGGTGATTTGTTTTGATGGGGGGAAAGTGTGGCGCTCGTTCTCAAAACCAAAAATGAAAATTTGGGGACCGTGCCCGTTAGTCCATCACACAATTTATTAGCGTAACTAATTTAACCCCAACGCTTTATTTCAAAACGTTGTCTTAGACTCTATTGTGACGGGTGGAACCGTCACAAAACCGTTTCCTTAGACAGCTAAGAGGACGGTTTTAAACCGTCCCCAACAAACCGTCCTCGTAGACCTATTTTGTGGTAGTGCGTATATTTATAATTACAAGGATGCCCTTGAAGCTTTTTCTATCCACATAATTGCTCGCCATGTTGCATGGTTGATTTGCATGGAAGAGTACGTAGTCTCATTATTCATAAGATTGGTACAAACTGCATGGGGGTGATTTAACCTGATTAAAAGGAGAGTTAGTGCGATGTGTGATACCCGAAATTGTCCATCCGCCAAAAAATATGCTCACATTAGCTTGCGTATTTTGGTCGTCATTTGACTTCCACTGTGTTGTGGCTGAACAGGTTTCAGAGTTTTTTTCTTTTTTTCTATTGTTGCTGGAATTTAGAGCTATATGTTTTTAGATCACCTCTGGATAATGGAGTGTTCTATATATTAACAAAAAGCAAAAGAAAGAATAAATTTTCCACTTTATGTTGGAGAAGATTCAAATCTTTATTGCAACATATGGCTACACTAAACAAATTAAGTTACCTTAAAAAATCAAGCTATTATCCAAAGGAAAACATACATCTAGGATCATCTATCATAGGCAGATAAATCATACTATACAAGTCAAATTACACAACTTATTTTCATATATGCCATAGTTTTTTTTGGTCAATGAAAAAATTTTATTCATTACCAAAGTATTGAGTTTTGTGTACATCAAATTCTCACTGAATTTAGTGAGATATCAACTGATAAAAGAACTAAACCAATATATCCCTATATATAGAGATTTGCCAACTGGGAACAGAGATTACAGAGAAGATAGTCATTCTTTGTTTTCATCAAGTGTAGGCATATTCAGGATAGCAGTTAATATATCCATCTTGATATCTTTCACTACTTGATCCACATTCTTGATTTCCTGCAAAAAAAATTTTCTATTCCTCTCATTCCATAACCTGTAAATAGCTGCAGACAATGCCATGCGTTTGATTCCTTTCCTGGAGTCCCTTCCCCTTAGTTTTGTACAATACCAATCTAGAAGGAGCCCCCAGTTGCATGATTTCCATTTAAAATTCAACCATTCCATGATTTTGTTCCACACTGCACTGGAGAAAATACACTCAAAAAATAGGTGCTTTCTACTTTCCTGACCTGCACCTGAGCACAAGCAACACACATTTGCATTGATGATCCCTCTTCTTATCAGTCTGTCCTGAGTTAGTAGTCTTTTTTGGACTGTAAGCCAGCATACAAAAGCATGTTTAGGGTAGCACATTTTATCCCACACTGTATTATGCCATTGCACCCTCTGAGAATTATTAGACAGTGCATAGTATAAGTTTGATGTCCGAGATTTTGCATCTTTGAAACAGGTACTGAGGAGATTTACTAGGTTGTTAACTCCCCCATAATGAAGAATTGCTTATCTCTTTGCTTGATCATTTGCTTCCACATCCAAGAGTCATTCTTTTTGACAATCACATGCCATACATCCCTGAGATTTAAGTAATTCTCATGGATCCATTTGATCCATAAGGATTCCTTATACACATATAGATACCACAGATTCTTCAAGGTGGCTGCCAAATTCCAAATTGTAGCCGAAAAACTCCCAGACCACCTTGCTTCTTACTTAGGCAAATATTATGCCAAGCCACTAAAGGGATTTTTTGAGACAAATTTGTTCTTCCCCATAGAAAATTTCTACACAGTCATCAATTTTTTGAGTGACTTTAACAGGCAGAGTGCAATTTGTTGTCCAAAAGACTTGAATACCCAAAATAACACTCTTGATGATTTGTAGTCTACCCGCATATGTAGACTACAACTGGTTAGAAATTTTGTTTAAGAGATCACTACAATCCATGTAAGATAATCTTCTAGAGATGAGAGGAACACCTAAATATCTGATTGGTAACAAGCCTTCTTTAAACCCCAACAGGTTAATGATGTAGTTCTTCACATTTCCATCTACCTCTCCAAAGAAAATAGAGCATTTATCCTTATTTGCTTCCAATCCAGTGACCTCACCAAACTTCTTAACACACATGAATAATTTTTGGATAGTGTAAACATCTCCTCTTCCAAATAGAAGCAAATCATCAGCAAATATGAGATGTGTGATTTTGAGCTTCCCACACTTAGGATGGAATTTAAACAATTTGTCAGATTTCAACATGTCCAGGCTTCTTGAAAGATATTTCATGCCTAAAATGAATAGATAGGGAGATAAAGGATCACCCTGTCTTAACCCTCTCTCACCTTTGAAGTATCCATGGAGGGATCCATTAAAGGAGATAGAAAATTTAGGACTGGAAATACAAGTCATGATCCTGTCCACCATAATATTAGGAAAATCCAATCCTTTAAGCATCTCTTTAAGAAAATTCCAACTTATATTATCAACAGCCTTCTCAATATCAATGTTTAACATTATTCTTGGTGAAATATGCTTCCTGGAATAGCCTTTAACTAATTCATGCACCAAAAGAATATTACTTGTGATATGTCTCCCCTTTACAAAAGCAGTCTGAGATTCATTTACCAAATGTCCCATAACCAAATTTAATCTATTTGCCAGGATTTTATAAATGAACTTGTATAGGCAATTGCAGCAAGAGATAGGCCTAAAATCAGAAGGAGTTTTGGGGCATTACACTTTAGGAATAAGAGTAAGAGAGGTAGAGTTTACTACTCCCAAGAGTTTACCAGTTTTGAAGAAATCCTCAATTGCCAGAGAAACT